TTTTAATAATTATTACTGTTACAAATTGGATTAACACTGTTGCTTTTACTACTGGACATTCTAACTCTGATGTTAAGTGTTGTTGATGGACCAGATCATTATTTATTATTGGTGCCATATTACTTCTTTATTTTTCAGTAAATTTTTGATTTTATTTTAATAATAAAATGTATAATGAGTGCTTCCTGTATTGCCTGTATACTTGATGTTATATTTTAAAGATCAATAAAGATTTTTATAATAAAGAATCTTTTAAAAATCAAAAATTTACACTTGGTGTTTTCATTGATCTGTCAAAAGCTTTTGACACGGTCGATCATAATATTTTGCTTAAAAAACTTGAATGTTATGGCATAGCAGGTAAAACTCTAAGTTCGTTCAAAAATTATCTCTACAACCGAAAGCAATTTGTTTTTAATAAAGATTCCCAACCTCAAACATTAATGAACATAACATATGGTGTCCCAAAAGGATCTATACTTGGACCACTTCTTTTTATTATATATATAAATGATCTTAACAAAGCATCCAATTTAAAGACTATAATTTTTGCAGGTGACACAAACTTGTTTCAGTCACATGAAAATATAAACCTACTTTTTAATAATATGAACAGAGAACTTAAAAAAAATTTCAGTTTGGTTCTTTAATTATTTTCTTTAAATATTGAAAAAATGGATACTTTTCCATCCAAGCTATAAAAACAGATACTGCCTGTAAATATGCCTAATCTTTTTATAGACAATGTCATTCTAAAAAGAGAAAAAGTGACAAAATTTTTGGGAGTTTTATTGAAGAAAATCTTGGAAGTCACACATCAATAATATTTCTAATAAAGTTGCAAAAAACATTGGAATTCTATACAAATCTAGAGGTATTTTAAACAAAAAGCAATTAACACAATTATATTACTCTTTTATTCACTGTCATATCAATTATGAAAATATTATATGGGGAAGTACACATAAAACTAAACTTAAATCTCTTTATCGGCATCAGAAACACGCAGTTCGCATAATAAATTTTAAAAATCGTTTTTTGAACTCTGAACCGCTTTTTAAAAAAACGTTTTAAATGTTTATCAATTAAATGTGTTTAATGTTTTGTGTTTTATGTACAAATGTAAAGAACTTATGTCCCCCGATGTATTTGTAAATCTTTACAAAATTAAACCCCAAAACAAATATAAGCTACGTAATAATAGCTTTTTAGAAAAACCTTTTTGCAATAATAAACAAGCTCAATTTTGTATATCTTATCGTGGACCTTTTCTCTGGAATGAAATAGTACGGCCTAATTTTATTTTTTCATCTAAATTGACCTATTTCTTTTTCAAACTATCTATTAAAAAAATATTTA